CAGATAGTGACAATTTGACAGGATGTTCTAAGGTAATGGAGATATTGTGTGTAAAATACTTAGCACAGAGCTTTTTGCATGATAACAATGATGATAACAAAACAATGATGGTGACAACAATAACAACAACAATAATTGTGGGGAGGGTGGAGGAAGACCTGAGGAGACTATGGAGTAACCTCCTATAGAGGAAAAGACAATGAGTGGCCATCTTACAAAAGTGACCCAAGTAGACTGAAAAGTAGAAAGTGAATTATATCACTTTCATCTCCTTTTCATCCAGTAAAAATTCAGTATAGTCAGAGATATGAATTGCTTCTAAATTATTTTCTCTTCCCCAAAATTCCTCTGATCATTATGATGACACTACATACATATTTTCCATTTTATTCAGGGCTAATTTTGGAAACAAACGAAAAAACAGTCCAGGATTTAATGAGATGTCTCACCAAGAAAAGGAATGAGATCTTTGGAATTTTAGTGAACTAAGAATCAGAGCAGTCACATTACCATTCTTAAGTTACCACAACATAAATACTCATTACACTGCTGATATTCACTAGTATCTGGTCCATCTGTTATTTCACAACCCCTTTATTGTAGCACTGTTTCAGTTCAACAATCCAACTCCTATTGTTCCTGATCCTACAATTTCAAACTCATACACATGATCTTGTAATGGCTTCCACCATTCTGCAGAGGAGGAAGATGGAGACTGTGGAGTTAGTTTATAAACTGAAAAATCTGAAGGACTTAAATAATGTGGGGTTTAGACCGTAATTAATAATTAATGTCATGTTAAAAGTCACTGATACTTGGGATGGAAGGGACCATGGAGGTTATCTGGTGTAATCCAAATCTTATTGCGGAATTCCTCTTGTGTTATGTCTGAGAATAGTCCCTCACCCTGTGTAAGCAATCGTCATGCCCACGGACAGAGAGGAGACCACTGACCATAAAAGTCTAAGGCATATCAGGTAAGCCTATCTGAAAAGTCTGATTCTGGTTTGAATGCTTTGAGCATGGGTATGAACAATATAGATATTTGGTGCAATTATGTCTTGTGATGAACAGAGAACCTCCCCCTTCCTGATCCAGTCTCCTGGTCCTCCTTTGTGTATCTGCCCTCCTCTCTTTTCTCTCTCAAGTCCTTCTCTGTATTTTCCTATTACCTCCCACTTTTATTTTTCCCAGTTCTCACCTACTTGGTAGAATAGTTCCTCTTGTCGTGAGAGACCATTCTGACTCTCAAGGCAAGAAAGATGATTAATAAGTCTTCCTCCAGTCCTTAGAGATAAGAGGCCCCAAGATAAATGCAGGATTGTGCCTGTAACCCCATCAGTGCCACCGTTTCTGTTTATGGCCCTCCTCCAAATTCTTCCTTTACCATTTCAGATTATGGCAGAAGAGTACAGTTTGGGAATACAAGGGAAAGAGGGCTATAATGATTCTCAAATATTTATTGCCTCAATATCTGGAACAAGGATATAGTACAACATGAATATGAAATACTAGTTTCTGTCCAGAATATGGTGGGTAGTAAAGAATTTTAGATATGGGGTAGCCAATGAGAGGGACTTATTGAGTTGAGGGACCTAGAGTCTATAATCTAAGAGCTAGAAGTGACTATAGTTCAATTCTATTATTATGTACTAGGTAAAAATAAGACTCCATTATGTGATTTACCTCCTCAAAATCATATAATAGGGAGTATATGGAAAATCTCTGAACCTTTCACTCAATTTTGCTGTAATGTTATATCTGCTCTAAAAAATAAAATCTACTTTAAAGATCATAAGCAATAACGCCAATATTATTACTCAAATCTGATTCTCTAGAGTGGTACCTTTATTCACTGTGCTATAGAGTTCTTCCTGATGAAACAGATTAGATACATTTGGTATGACTATAAATAGATGCTTCCTCAATGAATAAAACTCCCTATGTTTGTCAACAATATTGACTTCAAAACGTCTATGAGTGATTAAGCATGCAAAAGGGTTGGCATGTGGACACTGAATGATGAGAATTCTCTAATTAGTGTGGAAGTTTCAATTGTAATGACAGTCCTCTTTAGTATAGGAACTGCTTAAAAAGTGTGGTCTATTGTTAATCTTTCCAACTCTGGTTTTGAATTTGGCAATTTTGATTGGTTTAATTATAACTCTTAAGAACTGAATCATCTATTATCTCACCTAAGATATTGTTTATTACATATATTGCATATAGCTTACTACTCTTCAGGCACTGTGATATTTAATACATTCATT